TACAGAAATTTTGGCAAGGGTTTTGATTGTGGACAAGAAATGTAAGAGTTGTTTGGCATTATTTAGCAATAAAGTAAAGACAGGGGATGCTGAGCATGGGTAGAGAACTCCGATTCCTAAGGATACCTTTCCATGATCCCCTAAAAGGACACCCCACTTTTCACTTTTTAAAAATGTTATTCTCTTGCAAACTCCTGTTCACTCAGAGCTCTGTTAACCACAGACCCCAAAAGTTGTGCATTAGTTTTTTGCACAGAGCAGAGCCTTCTCAGCTGTTTCATGCAGGTGCAAATTTGCTAAATCAGGGGTGTCCTTTAAAATGAGGGACATCCGAGAAGAGACCTCAGCAGATGTGATGTAGAGGCTTTCCTATTTATCTCTGAAATAATATGGCCTGACAGCTTGCTTTTCGAACTGGAGACTGGCATCCTGTGCGCTCAGAATTAGTTCCAAATTCCGTTGCTTGTAGTATCCATGAACGTACATGCTGAAAATATGCAGACCTGGGTAAGGAGATGACAGACGTGTGGAGTATGGGTAAGGGAGCGTTCTCATTAGTCCTTGGAATTGGCTGCTCCGGAAGAGCGAACAGCTGGGAAAGGCCTGGCCAGTGTCAGAGCCATTTCTGCTGTGTAGCTCCCAGCCCAGCATCACGAGTGCGGAGCCATGAGACTCTTTAGGAAAGGCTCCTTAGCACCAGGTGTTTCCTGTTTTTGAGCGGGGCAAAATTGTTGCTGGATGACACACGGCTCCCTGTAGACGCCAAACATGTGACGTAGCAGGATTGAGCAGGGTCTGCCTCAAATAGCCAGTCAGCAAAATGTGTGCATGTTTTGGGAGAGAGGCTCTTAGCTCATGTCCTCCATTTGCCGTGCACCCACGTTTTGTATCTGCATGCTGGGTGTGTGCTTTCAGGCACTCTGTGTTTTGGGCTATGGTATTTAGGCATGTGCACTTAATCTGTTTGCCCAGGATGCCCCAGAATTAGCGGATTTGATTCCCAAGGAGGACAAAGAGCTATGTGGGTGTTATTTTCTGTATGTCAGTGAAATCATGGAATCTTGGGGGGGGGGGAATTAGTGCAACTTCTTAGAACCTCAAAAACCCAAGAAAACTTGAAACCTCAGGGTGTGGGTATGTATCTCCTGTACTGCTTTGACTTTGTGGTTTAATCCAGCGAGCAAAGCAAGTATTGTTCGAGGGTTAATGAACTCCCATAAAGAACTTTGAGGTGTCCTGTTTTTGTGTAGTTGGAAACTGTTCCTGGAAGAGACACACCCACTTCTGCTGTTCCTGCCTCTATTACAAGTTTGCTTACTGGAATTGGTGCTGGTAAGTTGGGCTGGGGGAAAGAGCTGGTCCGCCCCCTGTTGGAGTCTCTGAATGTGTTCGCAGGCTCCTGAGCCAAGTTTCTGATCCTACCACTGTTTGCTTCAAAACATGTTATTCTCCACCCTTTCCCTGTTATTTAAAGCAGGGATGCCTTTTCCCCCCAGGCCCAGTTTGAATCACCTGGGGATTGCATCAGGCTATTGTTGCCAAAGTGGTACCCTTCTGGGAGGCAGGGCTGTTTTCTTTCAGGTCCTGTTTATTTTTATTCTCTCCCTGTGCTCTGCAACCTGGCTTTGGGGAGGTCAGGGTTGTCCTCTTGAGAGCAGCAAGGGATGCAGTACAGAGTTTTATGTGTCTGCTTTGCTGGGGAGCTGAACAGCCACTCAGTGAAGGAGACTGCGAAGGTTATGCCATGACTCAGGTGCTAGCTGAGCTCTTGGCTGGGTCAGCAAATAAACCCAGCCTCTGTCAGGTGCAGCTGCAACCTTTCCATCATGCATGCCCCTTTGCCTCCAGAGATGGGGCTGATGCAGCTATTGGTTGCCAGTGATTAGTGGGGACCTTGCAGATAAAGGAGCATGGGAGATACTAGTGAGTACGGTTAGCAGGGCTGGATGCTGCTCTGAGAAATTCATCATGATTGATTATTGGCTTCATTGAAATCCTGGAGGTGATTTCTTTACACTAGGATAGGGCCAGTTTTCTAGGTCAGGCATGCTGAGAGAGCTGCAGTCAGAGCTATCATTTGGTTTGCAAGGCTTCATGTGCCAGCTTGGTGCTCTGCAGCTTGAGCTTGTTTACTTATTTATTATTTCAGTTTGTGTCCCTCCCCCCTTCGTCAAGTGCTGATGTCAGGGCAGGTCACAGAATAAAGTAAGGGTATCCATTAATTTCACAAAACAGTAAAATCGCATAAAACAGGGATAGCATCAAATGAAAGCATCATGCAACAATGCAGAAAGCAACTCCTTTACAGCTGGCAAATTGATTCATTCCCCAACAAAGGCTTGAGTGAACATATACTTTTTTACCTGGTGCTGAAAAATGAGCAACAATGATGCCAATCACACTACAAGGGGAAGGGAATTTCACCGCTGAAGTGCTACCCATCTCACCTGACAAAACACCCTTTCCCCTCTATCTGGAATAGCATGAGGACTTAAAATGGGGATAAAGGTAGTAGTAGTGGTGGTGGTGGTAGTAGTAGTAGTAGTAGTAGTAGTAGTAATTGTATACCACCCTTCATTTGTAGATCTCAGGGTGGTTCACAAAATAAAAATACAATATAAAAAACACACCAATATAAAAACAAACCAAGAATCCCTCCCACAGCATATTTAAAAAGGCATCAGATGTTAATCAGCCCAAGGCCTGGTTGAAGAAGAACCTTTTCACCTGACGCCTAAAAGTGTATAATGAAGGAGCCAGCTGAAGCTCCCTGGGGAGAACATTTGACAAATGGGGAGCCACTGCAGAAAAGGAGCATTCTTTTTTTTAACGAAACAGCATTTATTAAACCAAGGATGAGAACCAAAGCATTTGCAAAACTAATTTCCAGTAGAATACTCACATAAACTTTTATGTGCACATGGGGGGGGGCTGCTAGACCAATTTGTACACCAAACAAAACACAGAACAGGAATTTGACAACATGAATATTCTTTGTTGTTTGTGGACTTACAGTTATCTTCACAATTAACCTTTGGAAAATTGTCCCCAAATGTTGTAGCTAGAAATGAACAGTTTTTGGCTAAAATTTTGCATAGTACCGGTCATGGTTTTGGAAATCTCTATGTGCATATTTTGCATCTGCTCTGCTGTGAGGCACTCTGTCAAACGGCTCGTGATCATTGAAACACGATTCAAAGACTTCATCCACAGCTTTCTCGGCCATCTCTTTGCTGATGTTCCGAACAGCCAAGATGGAGCGAACAGCTCTGTCTTTTACGCAGGTCTGCTGATGCTGCTTCAATCCAAATTTAAACCGGGTTATTTCATTTAGGAGGGAGCAATCACCACTAAGATTAACAGCTTGAATCTCCAAGCAAGCTAAATGCCTGATATTATTGAACCAGTCCACATGTGCACGGCAGTAATCAAAAGCATGAAGAAACTCATGTGCAACCACTCTGTTCATATGAGACTGGTGATGAATATTGTTTTGGCACAGAACAATCTGGGATGTTGAAGAATCAAATCCTCCACTGACACACCCATCACACTCTTTACATGAGAAGTGTCGATTTTTGAAAACAGTGCAGCCAGTATTCTTCATAGCATCAAGTAGCAGTTTAGTATATGGACTGCTTTCCAGGGCAATCTGCAGCATCAGCTGGCACCTGTGGTTCCTGGTGAAGACGGCCTTATAGAGCATAGACTGGTGCTGTTTCCCGCCTCCGTGGCTCCTCTCGGGAAACAGGCCATACCCGAAGTCATCGTCCCACTCTCCGCCGGAGCCACAGCTCCCCGGATCCTGCGGCTGCTCTCCGGAGGAGGCATCTCGGAGGAGCCTCCTTCAGCCATTCAAGCACGTCAGAAACAGCATGGCTTGGGAGGCCTCGCCGGCCACTGTAGGTCACTCACCGTAGTGATCAAAAGGATCATTCTTGTGCTGCCGCCCTCAACCTCTTGTGGAGGAGGCCCACAAAGAAGGGCCTCAGTTGGGTATGGACAGGTTCATATGAAGAGAGGCGTATTGTGGTCGTGAGACATGTTAGCATAACTCCCAGTGTGCTAGGGTGCATTGGCTCTTCTTTTGACCTTCGTGCATTTAGTGCAGACATTTGAAGAGAGTTTCTGTGTGTGTTTTGTTGAGAACAGAAACCTTCTTTAGACCCCACACTCAACATTGTCACTATAGGCTCAGGTGGTCCTGTTGATGGGTGGGGGGTGTCCACACCTGCCCAATGACATTATGACTGGGTGTATACCAATATTGCAATCTCCACTAACTTCTTCGTTCACTTAAGGCAGGACTTTATGCTTTAATCTGTTTTATGATCTGTATTATTATTTTTTATATGTGAATTATGTAGCTGCTTGGGTATGCTCTGAATGCAAACTCTGAAATAACAGTACAGAAGTATGAAAGGCTTTTGTGAATAACCCCTGCGGAAATACCTAGTGTTTACTTGAGTTCATCTGAACACAGCCATAATAGCGTATGAACTGTTTACATCTATTCTGAGGTCTGAATATAATGTTTACATAGACGGGAGAAACTGAGTGACAGATCACTTGTAACGTAGCACTTACCATGACTTGGAACTATGAAAGGGCTTGAGGAAGTTGGGATAGTAGTCTAGTACTGCACATGAGTTCCCTTTGGCAAGGTAGATAGAGCCATGAAGAGGAGATTAATTGACAGAGATTTTAGAAAATCAGAATCTGAGGGCAATCAACTGGAAGACTCATTAGCAAAGGTGGATTGATAGGGGCAAGAAGCTTATATTGAGAATATATCTGATTGGAGGTCAGCTTTTAGCCAATTCTTATCACCTGGTTGAGGAGCATATTTTATGAGTGCTCAATTTATTCTTGCAGAACTCTTATGTGTGGGGTAAAGTCTTTGTGCTGCGTGCTGCTTGAGACTATGATCTGTGGCTAATCATGACAATCTGAATTTGAAGATCTTAATGCTGACTGTTTTTCCTCCACTTCTCTCGCAGGACTGCCCACAGATCCTTCCATCTACCCAGATATATATCCCTGTGGGTGTGGTGAAGCCTATCACTTTGACTGCCAAAAACCTGCCACAGCCACAGTCTGGACAGCGCAATTACGAGTGCATCTTCCATATCCCTGGCACATCCCAGCGTGTCACTGCCCTGCGCTTTAACAGCACCAGCATCCAGTGCCAAAACACTTCGGTGAGTCTTTGGAATATAGTTATCTTTTGAGAAGGCTGCTTTGGGGAATCACAGCAGAAATTCCCTGTTTGCCTCTTATGCATGTTTGGCCTCAACTGTGCATATATCTGAGAGGAGATCACATGTTACCCGTGCTTGGGTGCAATCCCAGAGTTGCTTTCCCAAGCAGATCCAGTACCGGAAGCTACAGGAGCCAGTGCTCAGCTGCATTGTCTCCTGCAGGTGCCGGTACTGGATCTGCTTGGGTGCAATCCCAGAGTTGCTTTCCCATTAACCAGTAACGGGAAAGCAACTCTGGGATTGCACCCAAGCAGATCCAGTACCTTGTTTGCCAGTACCTGCTTGCTTGTCTTTCTGCTCGACTTGGGATAGGAGCATGTTTTTACCTTGGATTGCTTAACAACCCTCTCTGCACAAAAGGTGTCCATTCTGGGTCTTCCCCTCCCATCACACAGCTCCTTTGGTGAAACGGCACCCCAGTCATTCCCGTTGTGTCGTGCTGCTTCCTTGCTTTATTGGAATGTACGAAGTGTGTGTTCGTGGCGCTCCTGTGGCCTTGGAAGCAGTCCTGATCCTCTTTCTGCCGTTGTGTTTATCCGCTTTCCTTTTTTCCTGTTTCTCTTTCTCTTCAGCTGTGTGAAATTGTTCTGTGCAGGATCAACATCCCCTCCTTCCTCCGCTGCTCTGCCAAAGCTACCCAAGGGGACTCTGCTATGTTTTATGAGCATTTCCAAAGAAATTTGCTTATGAAAGCCAAAGAAAGCTGCCTAGGCCTGAGCCAGCTTTGCTTGTGTCCCAGAGGAACTCCCATCCTTCTCTCTACTCTCCCACACTTGGGCTGATCCAACTTTGCAAACAGAATTTAGTCAATTCTGATTTATATCTGGCATTGTACACCTTCCCACATCCTCAAACACTTTCCCAGATTGTATTTCTCTCCCCCCCACCCCACCCCCAATTTCTGCTCCTCTGCTCATTCTGTTTTGCTTAATTCAGTCGATGCCACCCATCCCCTCACGAGCTGGTGCAATCCCTAGCCTGGATTCTCCGTAACAATACTGGATCTGTTTCCGCAGCTAGTCAATCTATAGTAGGTTGACAATCAGAATCTGTTTTAAAATGCTTCTGTCTACTACTTACAGAGCTCTGGCTATGTAATTCTGTCTTGCAACCATAGCCTCTCCAAAGGTCAGGAGTGGCTGATGGGATGAGGCATTGCTGCAAAGTTTCCTTTCCCAGACTGGTGTCTCTGCACCTCACCGGGACAGTGTGGAGCTGGGGCTGGATGTGTAGTAGCACCGGTGAATATGCTATATTGGCTCCAGCGGTTCCCTCTGACCTTGCCACCACTCTGGTGCTGCACCGTCACGTAAACTGCAATCCTGGTGTCAGGAGGTTGGCTCCATGGCACTTCCTGGCTGCTCCTGCCAGATGTACTTCCCCACTGATAACCTCTTCCACTTTATCATAGCCACTGTGTTGAGAGGGGGGAGTTTGTTTCTCATTGCAGTCAAGCCAGATCAGTGATCTTGCCTGATAAACCTCAAGAAGTTCCACATGCCTTACATTAATGGATGAATTATTTGCACGGCACTCTTAACATTAAAGACTAGCAGGTCTAAAGTCTTAATAGTCCTTTCATCTGCAGAGGCATGCCATTCCTTGGCTGACCCGCTGGGCTGTCTTCCAACCTCCACTCATTTGCATAAGAGTAGCCCCTCCTCCTCCAGCTTCCAGTTTAATCCCTTTAAACATTTCTTTTCTATCAATTGCACTGTGAAAGCTCATTTGCAGCCTGGTGTGAGCAGCATTCCATAAACTTCTGCCCTTAAGCAACATGAATGACATTGCAGAGTTATGGAAGAGCTAATGTTTGCTTGAAAAGGGCCTTTCCTCCCTCCCATTCGTGCCAAGGATTCTCTTGGCGCAAACCAAGGTTGAGAGATCTTGGAGAGCACCATTTCCCTCTTATGCTCTGTTAACAACCCTTTGCAAGTTTTGGGTGGGGGAGAGGAGAACTCTAGCAGGAAGATTCTTTAGAAATACTAGTTCATATTTAGTTCCACGTTATCTGATGTTGCCTCTGAAGGGGAAACAGTGCAATTTGGAACAGTGGCGACTCAATGGTTCAGTAGACGGTAGAATCCAAAATGTTGTCTGGCTTTTTAAAAATGTAATTATGTATCCAGGAAGCTCAGGCAAAGCAGTAGGAAACAGGACAAGAAAAATCAAATGATGAAATGAATGCTAAACTAGAAGCGGGGTGGAGGGGGGAATGAACAAGTAATCTTTGGGCTGGGAAAGAAAACAAGGAACAAAAAAAAAGGGGAACACTGAAGTTATACTTTACAGAAAGGAGGATAATTTTTTTAAAAAAATCTAGCCTGTCGTTGACCTAGTGAATTCCAGGGTGCCGTACAATATTTTTTTAAATGGCTGAGTAAATAAAAATGTCTTAACCTGACAATGAAAAGATTATAGCATCAGCATCAGTAGAGCTTCCTTGCAGAGAGCATCAACACTGTCCCTTGAAAACTACACAATGTACTCAACCCACTAATGATTACTTGTAGAAGGGGGTCTTGTTTGAAGATCTTCATGTACAAGGATGCTAGGATGGGTAGACATGCTGCTTCAGATATTTGGGTCCCAAATTGTTTACAGCTTTGGAAGTCAGCACCAGCACCTTGAGTTGGTCTTGGAAGCAAATAGGAAGCCAATGCAATGCTTTGCTTTAATCGGCTAGTAAGTTTTGGAGACAATAGCTTTGGATTGGAAGTTATACCCCCCAAATGAAGGAGCATTCACACATCAGTAGAAGTCAGGGAAGAAGTACTAGTGACTCTAAATATTTTTCTCTCCTCCTTGCCACCCTTGCACCTGTTGAATTGCACTCTTAGATCCCCCAAATTATCATGCGTCACTCTTGATTCTTCTTTCTGCACTTATATAGGCAACATATGAACTAGGCCTGAGGAAACTCACACAGTCTGTCATGGGAAAGCTTAAGCTAAGGCAAAAGAAAGTTTAAAAACCACAGGACTAAGCTGGGGTGTGCTAATAGCCCTGTCTTAAATTGCTGGAATGAAGGAAACATCCATGATGGATGAAATGAAGGATGCGAGAGAGAGAACAGTCCTCCCTCACCTTTGCTTGTAAGGGCAGACTGCCCCTTGCCCAATGACAATGAGTCTGTAGAGGCTGGTTGATCATCCTTCTTTGCAACACAGCTTTTGCCACTCCCAATTGCCAGCTTGGAGAGGATTCTTCAGAGGTCAACTGAGCGGCCATTTGCACAGCAGGAGACCAGTTACACAAAATACCTTCTTGGCCATCTGAGTGCTGTTACTGAAACATATACGCAGCCTAATCACATCTAGCTTGCAGTACTTGAAATGGTCTTGATTAGGGGGTGGGAGAATCTGCTCCCAGGCACTGTAAATGCTTCAGAGGAGCCATTTTCATCTGCTTCAGGAGAAAGCAAATGGGAAGGAAGGGGATTTCTGGCCTATTTCAAGAGTAGGAGACAGCTGCTAGTATATCTTGTTTCACATCAGCTGCACTTCACCACTGGAAACTCAAGCATGAGTCTTGGAATTGTCTCACAAATATTTATTTTATTTTGTGTGCATGTGCGCACACCGGCATTCATGCTGTCCTTTAGTTAATATACTATTGGGATGGTTAACAACCAGTAAAAACAATTACAGTAACAAAACAGTATATCTTAACAACCTGATTAATACAGTGGAGACAGTAAAAAAATGCAAGCAGTACAGAGGAAGGGGGGAAGTCATACCACTGCATCATGCGGCTGTTTTATTTGACTCCTAGGTGTGGCAGTATTAAATTTCTTGGGGTTTCTTTGGTGAGAAAAATAAGTACACAGTTAAAAGGTACCATTTTATATTGAATTCACAAGTCACATTACAACTTTTCAGCACCCCTCATTTTGGGAATTTGAAAGTTGCAAAATTCAGCATGTCCTGCTGCCCTACAGTCGTCAGCCTTCTTGACTTTGCACAACTTGCAAAGTATTAGAATGTGATATATTCCTTACAGGGGTTGGGCTTTATGCACATATAGCGGATAGAAATTTATCACTTGAGAATTTATTCTCCACTGATACCTACTGTAGTCTATCTTGTCCACTTTGCAGCTTTGTACTGTTGCCTCCTTTCTCTCTCTTCTCTCTCTCTCTTTTACTTTGCTGCCACCTTCTTTCCCTCTTTTATTTGAATTTTTTAAAGAACACTTTTAATATTTTGAAAACAGAGAGAGAGAGAGAGAGAGAAAAGAAAGAAAGAAAGAAAGAAAGAAAGTACTCTAACCTGTAGCTAATCCCATATCCCCCTCCCTGCACTATTCAAGATCCTGGCTTTTAGCTAGATAAGATTACAAGTAAACCTGTACGTCTTTCTTCATCTCTTCCTTATATTAGCCCATTTCCATCATGCTTTCGGTGCTCGCTTCGGCAGCACATATACATTTCCATCATGCTTTTGAAATTAAGATTCCAAAGCTGAATCCTGTTGGAACTGAGTATCCTCCTTCTCATTATATTTACCAGGACGTGAGCACTCAGGGTCAGGGTCTCCCTCTCCAAATCTCTTCTTTAAACCCTCCCATTTCACTTCAGCACACAATTGAGCTTAGTTCTCTCTAAGGAGATTTGGGATGCTGTGTACTGAAGGACACTGTTTAACAATAAACGCTATGGTTGAACAGCAGCAGAAGCGCTGGCTTAATGGGTCTTGAAGGTTGTATCTGAAATGCAGCCTGTGGGAGAGGAATCCTGTATCTATAGCAGCACAAAACCTGAATGAAGGGAGGGTGTATTCTCATCTATAAGCGGGAGATTGGATCAGGATTAGAAGGCCAGGAGGTAACTTGAATTCTGTCAATGCCATAACTATTCGATTGACAAAAAGATGCCAAAGAAAGCAGTGCCTTGGAGCATTACCAGAATAGTTCCGTACTTCCATCCAATGGCTTATTGT